CTGAAACAGCCGGTAATAAAGCGGTATCTGGGGGCTGCTTTCCTTTTCCGACTTTATTCCCGGCTGCCTTTCGGTTTAATACCATTTGCCCGTCAGACTCTCTACCGTAGGGACGTGCGGCGAAATTATTAGCGGCGAATATTCTTACGGCGAACGATAAATCAAAATGTGTAGCAGAGCACAGTGCTCTCTCTCTCTCTCTAACGCGATTCGCCAAGATCCTTCTAATTGGACGGCCTCTCTCTCTCTCTCTCGAAAAACGTTATCTTCGACGGTGGCTAGTAAGAGTGCAACGCAAACAGAAAGGAATATTTTCAGACCGTTTCAATCACGAGGAGGGGGGTGGACGATGGGGACAGTAATTTATAGAGTTTCGCGCTGGTCGAGTTTTCGAAGTTTTCGAGAGGCGTTGCAAATCGACCGCTACGAAAACGAGTCTACGAAAGTTTTCAATTACATTAGAGTCGAGCATATTAAACGCATCTTCGGTGAGATTCTTCGCCGAGGAGATCTCGACGGTAAGGAGAGGAACTTCTCTCTTTCTCTCCTTCCCTCCCTTTCTTCCATCTCCGTCTCTCGCTTTCTTTCTGCCGCTAACTCGATCCGAAGTGAGTTCGGAGGGTAAACTTATAAACTATGAAAGTTACTTTCCTATTCAATGAATTGACCGTGCCTTCGGCCGGGTGTACGTGCCTCGAAACCGTTCTGTCTCGACTTCCTCCTCGCTTCCAGGAGTTCTCTTCACCCCTCTTTCTCCTTCGCCTATTATCTATTGCCGCGCGTGAGAAAGAATACAATGTTGCAGACCGACCGGAAAATTACAAGTTTCGCTGGCTCCGACTTGGCTAAGCTTGTGTCGCTACCTACCAAATGGGTCATGGGTGGTTTTTAATACGCTTACCCCGCATAATTCATACGTATACCGCGGCTGTAATACGGTTTCGAGTGGCGGATATTGATTTTCACCGGCGTACCGCGAGGAGAAAAATCGCCTTCTGACGTGTAATCTCGAATTCACGTTCAACTCTCCTTCAGATCGACTCTCTTATTTTGGAAAATCTAGGTTTAGGTATTTCGACGTGGAACGGAAAGTTCGTAGGTAGTTATCGGAGAGAGAGAGTATTGGAACGCGATTTCAAAACTAGAATCGCCCGGTATCGGACCCCACGACTCCCTAGTTGTCGACGTCGAGTAGAATAGTTCTTGGTGGCTCGTTTATATCGGTTTTCGCGTCTCCGCGGTCGCCGATATTGTGCGCCGGGACATTAAGTTTCTCCCGGTTCTGCCCGAGTATCTCTGCAGTCTCGTTATGAATTTACATGACTTGGTATATATGTACGATCTTCCGAAAAAATATGTATAGTTGCGTATATAATGTGCTTTAGGGCTTTTGGGATTGCTTGAAGAAGATTCTAAGAATGTATCGATATTATTTAATTTCAAATACCTGGACTAGCGTTGTGAAACTTTGTTAATGAAAATATTTATATTTTTTATGGTTTTGTTGGAATTTGTATGGAACGAAAATTTCCTTTTTTTGTTTCAGAAGTCGAAAAGGCTGCAGGAGCTGCGCCGGGGGCATCGGGTGCAACTGCAGGGGGCCCTCGGGGGTTGACACCTTCCCCTGGCCCCTCGACACCCTCCACCCCTATCACTACCACTAGTCCTTCGGTTTGCACCACCTCGCCATCGTCCTCGCCCTCGCCTTCATCCTCGCCCTCTGCCCTCGTAGCGGGCTTTGACAAATCGGTGCTACAGGTAAGAATTTTTGTGCAACTTGTTTAACCCTTTCAGGATAAATGATCACTAACGAAGTTACAAAACCAGTTACGATTACCCTAGCAAGCTTCAACTCAACACGTTAATTAAACTAGGGTAATTCTAATCCAACTTGTACCGACTAAAACTCGATTAGGTTAATTTAAACGAGTAAATTTGTAAGGCCATGCCTTAAAGCATATCGCAGGTTAATAACCTACTCGTAATAACAATAAAAACGCTAAACGATGGATTCCTCGATCAATTTGTAACCTCAACTCACACGGGAACAAAGGCTCCGCGCAAACAAAACGTCACTATACATTCTCAACATATTTCTCCACCCCTGTAAATAACCCCTCTATATAGATACTCTTGCGAATGTAATATTGTCATGTAACAAGGTTTATCGCAACCCTTGCTGGCTCGAGGATACAGTACTCTTTTCATGCAGTTAACTTCACGATCACATCATTATCACACGTCAACTGTCTATCGACTAGATTACGGATTTTCCAACAAACCACTTGTTTTTTACAAATATAAAAATTCCAACAGTAATATTACGTAAAATAATTTTTGTGTTGTGTCCATGGTGAAAGGGTTAGAAAAACATCTCTATTTTTCTGTTCATTTGGTTTTCATATTATACAGAGAAGTTCGAACCCACGGTACGCTATAGAAATTTATGATTTCCCAACAATAGACGACTTGAATAGCAGTCTAACCATACAAGCCGATCAATGAATCACCGTTCTATGATGAAAAATGCACCGTATAGTCCTTCTCAAACTGTTCAACCCTCGATAAGATTTTCATGTCCCCCAGAGCATCCAAGATATTTATACGGTCCTCCTCGTCCTGCCGTAGAAAGAGGGGCTCGCAAATTTTCGAGAATTCGCCGCGTAAAACGATAAACCTCCTCTATTCCTCCCCGTAAATTGCACGGAGCAACAGGCTGTATCGCGGAACAAAGGGTCACTGACTCTTGTCCCGCAGGATTCGAACGATACCGCCATTAACCCGGCTAATAACTCCACGAACCATTCTAAACTCGTACAACGAGACCGTGAAAGGAAAGATCCGTTAAAAAGCTTCGTAACCTGAAACTTCGATTTTGAACTGGAAACGTGTGGAAGCACGATCTGAATGGAGGTCGTCTTTCGTTGATAATTAGGACGACAACTCGCAGCTGGTTGAGAGAGAGGTGATACGATGGCTGGGAGGGTTGGTTACGATAATACAGAAGCAGCTCTGGCCTCGGGTATCTTGGCTAATTAAAGCTCATAAATTACTACCACGTAGAAAGGGAGTGACGAGAATATGGCAACGTAGACCGTTGGACGGAAATGCCGGAGGGTTGTGCAAGTTGAACGTGGACGAAAAAATGCGCTAAACGATGTTCCTTCCTGTATATAGTAACCTCCTCTAAATTTCCTCCACGAGTTCTTCCTCTCTCTCTGTCTCTCTCTTCTCCCTCTTGCAAGTTCTTTCCTCGCTCTTAATGGTATTTCCGGAATTTAATCTTTATTCCTCTCTTTTTTCCCGCTCCCTTGTCTGTGTCCTCCTTTGTTTTTTATCTCGATCTCTCTAGGCAAAGAAGGGAACCCAGCCCTGTGTTAGCTACATCACGGCGAAACACGGAAAGTGATGAGCTCGGGGACAAACGTTATTTAGAATCGCGAATGCGGCTCTTTCGACGCGCGTTTCGGCAGCAAGCAACAGCAAGCAGCAGCTACACGGCAGAGGGAAGAGGCGACGGTTGCTCGTCGGGGACATTTAAATTCACACGCCGTGGCAACGGGCAATCTGCCGTGGAAATAAGGGGTAACGCGCGCGTTCTATGCTTCTGAAAGTAGGAGGGAGTCTAACTGGATTAGCTCGGCGGCGTGTCGCTGAAATTAATTCCCCTTTCGATATTCGCCCGCTCGGACGCCGATTGATTTCCACTCGTCTGGAAAATGCGCGAGTTTCGAGTAAACAAAAATTTACAGGCGGAAGCATTCCTCGAGCGCGTTTCCGCGTGCCTACGTATTTTTTAATGGGATTAAGCGCCTTTGAGGGGATATTGTCAAAGTCAGTTTTGCTCGCTGCCAAGTGCCTGCCAGACGTGGCTTATGAAAAGGAAATAAGAGGGGAATGTATACGCTTCGCGTAGAAGTTATCTCGTCCTTAATAGATTTTCAGTGAATATTTACGCGAAATTAAAACATGCACGTGAAAGAATTTCATTAATTCACCGAATATCTCATCTGTTCATTAGAGAGCACGAGTTAACTCTGTTAAGAACACGGTATTGTTCATTTTTAATTGCACACATTTGTAAGAACCAGGATGAAACAAGTGGCTATCACTTTTACTCATTTTTTGTTAGAAATAGAGAGATTAAATTTCTGTTTCAGAGGTGAACACGGTTAACAAATTGATAGATTCAAAAGACGTCACTAACAATCCTCCAGCGCTGATTTCCGTCATCCCTAAAAATTCTCCAATCGTTTAAGCGTAAGAATGTATCCGGGAAAGAAATAAGGGACGAATTCAGCGTTCGAAGAATCGTGGAAATTTCATGGAAATCTCCCCAGACAGAGTCTGGTCTTGTCTCGTGGAAATCTCGTTCGTTTCCGCAGCATCAGCTGCGCCTATTTGTTGCGTCAAAGGTTTCCACCTACGTACATATACGTGTTCACGTTGAAATACATCGACGGAGAAAAATCCGGAAGAAGCGCGACACTGGCGAAATATTCTGCCACGCTCGGCATGAGTTCGGTTATCAGGGACAGGAATTAGATTTGTGTGACGCCGGTGGACAACGTGGAGACGCGGATAGAACCTCTCCCCCGGTTCGTGCAGCCGTATAACTCGGTCAATTTTATCGAGTTACTCTCCCGTTTCTCTGCCTTCGCGGCGTCCCGATCTTCATTCGTCCCATACTCGAGCCTGGAACGTTCTTATCGAAGTGGCTCTTCCCAGCAGAACGTCCGAAATTCTCCAAGAATTGGACTCTGGAAATTCACGTTCACGTTCTACCTTCGTTTCTAATCTCGATCTCATTTTTTCTTCTTCTTCTTCATCAGATCTCTTCTCAAGTAACGTTCGCCCTTCAACCGAATCTCCTCTTCTTTTTTTTTCTCTTTTACTTTTCCTCTGCCTTTTATGAAATTTCTGGTCGGTGTCGCCGCCTTGTCGCACGGTGGCCGGTCTGTCGACTTTATTACGTGTTTGTGCTACTCGCAGCGAGCAGCCGGACTCTATTTACACAAAGCGCGTTCTTTGAAGAGATTCTTTTCACCTGTAAACAATCGAGACACTTCGAGGGACCTGTTGTTAAAATATCGTTCGCCGTTTTGTCCTATACAGAAGAGAGGGAGAGCTACTTTTCCTATTCGTTTGCGAAATGAATAGGGTGGAGTTTCTTTTCCAGCATCTTTTATCAACGCTTTAATAACCGGTCTGACCAAACAATGCGTACCTGAAAGAGAGTTCCTTTCTGCTTTTTTTCTGTACTCTGTTTTTACCGTCCTTTTAGCATCTTTCTCAGCAGTTTATCAAAGAGCCCGCTAGATTTTTCGGGTACACGGGGAAAGATTGAATTTTTGAGAAAAATACTCTCGTCGGAGGACTGTCTCAGGGAACACACGTGTATCGTTTTGGTTTATCTTATTTTCGGCGCAATTTCTTCGGTATATTACATCCTCCTCGGATGTTCCCTTACGTTGAAGCTTTGTGCAACGAGCCGCGTGCCGTTTTATCAAGCCCCTTTTAACTCTTTGCGCGTGGTATATTGTTCCTGCCTGTTGAGGGTACTTTAAGCACGAAATCTCACCCCGCTTTCGCGTGTTTCTTCGTTTATTCGATGCAAATGTCGCGTTGCTTTGATGCTCGACCGCCACACGTGTTTCTCAAGCGGGAAAGTTACTTTGCCGGCTATGGATGATAATTGTCGCGGCGTGCGCGTTACTTTCAATATTCAGAAGTGGTTCACGCGTTGAATTTACCTCGAGAAATTTATCGTACGTCAGTCGAGTGTCTGTGTTGTGTGTCACGAGAATACTCTGTGTCACGAGAGTGCTCTCGAGCCTCCGAAAAATTGCAGTTTTATGCAGCCTGCGTGGGTTGTTCATATTTTGCGTTACAGTCCAAAAATTCAAGCATCGAATCTCCTCGATATAGACGAAAAGGCAAATTGGATGTCTCCGAAGGATTAATTTGTGAAATAATCCGCACTGAAATTTACCGACGAGCTGAAAAGTCACCGTAGTCCGGATCGACAAATGTTTTCATCTACCGAGAAACCAGTTCCACCAAATCACAAGCCCGCTTCTTCAAACCCGAAAAATTCCAAACGCTTGATTAAAATTTCAAGCATCCCCTAGCCGTGAACTTCCTTTGAAACGTACGTATGTACGAAGGTAAACGTAGCCCCAAAAATAGCGTTCTAAATTCGAACGAGGCGTCCTTAAAATGGGAACACTTTTGCGCCAGTTTCACGTGAAAACGTGTCTCCTTCGAGGCAGCCTGTCACACTTTACCCGCGTGCACACGCGGGTCGCGCTCGCAATTTCGAATCCGGCCTAGATAAAAATACGTAATTATCTTCCGCGGATGGGTTTTATTGTCATCCAGGCCGTCTATTGTGCCGATTCTGCCGGTGCGCTTTTCCTATTTGCCGAGTCAACAGTCAGACTCCAGGCTGAGTCCGACGTCATAACAGCTATCTCCCTTCTTCCATTTCCGGCTATGCTGTCTCGCTGACAAGTATTGTGCTGTTTGCATAAAGCGATGAGAGGCTTCGAGGTAACGAGACTCGAGCAGGAATCGAGTTGCCAATGAAATTCTATTTTGCCCCGTGTTAGGCCTCGTTCCCGTGCACGCCATCCTGTGCTACCTCTCTGCAATTGATTAACTCTATCATCTCGCGCGGGAACGTTTCGCGTGAAAAACCAGCGGAGAAAAAGAAAATGAGGAAAAATTGTTACAAGAATTAAAAGAAAAAAAGAAGGTAGGAATAGATTTAGATACGAAAGGTAACGAATTGAATTCTTAAGAGAAACTCGATTGAAGCTGGAATTTATCCGCGTTACGGATTCCTCCGCCGAGCTTTTCAAACTACATTTTCCATTCATGACAGAGAGGCACGCGTGTTCTTTATTTCTGCGCCAGAAACTCGACCATTTTCTTTCTCCCGGTGTCCTCCTCAATCGAGCGTCACGTTTCGCCCGCCTTCTCCCGTGTGGTATGCACGGAACCTCGTTTCCGTGTCTCCTGGCGCACCAACTATTTTGTACTCCATTTTCCTTTGAGGCGGTCTTCGTATATCCAGCTTATTAGATTCTTCATGGTCGTCCCAGTGAAATGTTTTCCTATTTGACGCGTCCTGTTTACTCGCGACCGTTTTCCTTCTATTAAAATCGTGTTCCGGTCACGATTTACGCATCCCCTTTCTCGATCCTCAGTTTCGTCTTCTTTCTTCTTTCACGGCCTTTTCGCGTCGCTAACGTTCCTTTGAAACGACAACGTTTCAACGACGCTGAACAGCACAGAGGTACATTCGAGCTTGTCCAAGTGACGGGAGGGAGGACGAGGAATGTTTTTTTGCGAGAGAACGATTCGAGAGGAAAGTAAAACAACAATGACGAGCGATACGAATGGAAGCGCGCTCGAATGTTGAAGAACAGTCGTTGAACTTTTCACGCAGAAGTACGCCGCGGATGTAAAAAGTTTCGTTGTGGCGACCCGCCGCAAGGAGACACAGACGAAACGTTTTAGGTCAATTTCGTTCGGTTCCGGTTTCCGGGGAAAATAACTCTGTTATCCGATTTCATCGAGGAATCCAATATCGCCGCACAGACGAACTGGGTGGTTAGGTTTTCTGATATGAGAGATTAGCGCCATAAATGACTTAGCCAACTGATTCGTCTAATTTTTTGGTTTGTTTCACGTCCTCGTTTTTTCTATTTTCGACTAATTCTCTTCGATACATATTTTATACCAGAGCTCGAAAATAGCAGAAATCTTGCATGCGTAAGTCCTTTAAATATATTACACTGTGTTTATTGAAACATAGCGAATTAACTGTTTCAGAAATTCTCGAAAATCCAGCGAACAATCTATAATTCATCATCGTCTCGTTAAGTTGTCACGAGTTCGATACTAGTTATAACACAGTGAATTCTCAGGTCTTAATGCACTTTTGCCCGTGATTCACGATTACCGTTCTTCGAGAATCCACGAAAATAGTTTCTCGCAGATGTTCGTTCTTTCCGTTCGTTGTCGATCGGGAGCACACTATTTCCACACTCTTTTTTGTTTCACCTGGATTGAAGGGGTGCCGATACAATGGATCCTATCTATCTTTCATCGTCGTGCCGAATATCGCGCTGTATCGATTCACCGCGGTTCCGCGTTTATATTTCAAATTAAGCAGCTCGTTTATTTTGAGTGGCACCGACCAAACAAGTAGTAGAAGAGCCGCGATATAGGTCAGACCTGGTTACGGCCTGATCGTCGTTTGCATCTCGATATTTTTAATTAAATTCGCAGCGCGGAGATTCGATCTCCTCGGAGGACACGTCTCTCGGGTTCGTTCCTGTTAGTTAACGAACTGGAGTTTCCTCCGGCAAGTCAGCCGATCGAGCCGGCTCTGTCTCGCTCTCGTATCCCTGGAAAACGAACAACCGTTGGCGACTTTCCGTGCTTCATGCATACTTGTAATATCACAATTAAATAACTGAACGGTGGAGGAGGACCTTGTACACGCAGCCAGCCCGGGGAAACAAATTTAACTTGGGGTTTCAATTGTCCTGGAATACACGCGGCACTGTTTCTTCAGTTTTACGAAAATACCCGAGCGTGTGCCGGTTTCAACCCTTCGAGGACGATAGACTCGTATATGCTTTCGCGAAACACTACGAACGCGACCGATAAACATATGCATCTTTAAGCAATGAAAATGGTTCGCGTGAACTCGTGTACGTATACTTGAGAAAAATGAGAAAAAATGAAAAAGTGAAATAGCGACGTAATTGCAAATTACACAATCAGTACTTCCTCCGTCCGAAAAAGGGTGAAACTTTGAGCGTGAATAGCGCAGCGAACGTGTAAAGAAGAAAAGTGAACCCTCCTCTCGATAATGCATTTGTTGGCGAATTTGAATATTGTTCGACACTACATCTGCGTTGTTTTTCTCTCTCTTCACGTTCCATCACCTTCAGAATTTTTACGACGCGCCCTAAAAATTCCGTTACGACAGATACTGTAACGATAATCATCGTTCGGCCCCCCTGGCTGAGTTTCAGCAGGTCAGATATCAAAGTTACCGCCGCGTGAAAAGTCTGCTGGCATATATACGAGGACTGGCAGGAATATTTTCTTCCCCGAATGTGTATATAGATATATGTATGTATATATTCTTCCACCCTCCTTCTTCGGGTTCCCTCGGGACCCCGGGGGAGGACGTCGACGACGACGTCTAGGCCTTTCATTTTCATTGGGCTTCTCTCGTCGAGGCTTTTCAAGATGGGAGGGAAAACGAGAGGGAGAGTGAAAGAGAGAGAGAGAGAAGTTCGCCGCGAAGAAAACCACATGAGAGATATGATCGTTCTTCGACAACATGCACTTAATCAGGCCGGCTTTATGTGGAAACGGAGGGCTAAAGTGAAAGCCAGAGAGGAAGGACACTGGCTCAGACACGAAGCTCCCGGTAGAGAGACGACTTGGGGGGATGTCGGGGCCGAGCGAGACCTTAATTTCCTGTAGCATTCCGGCTTATCTCTTTCGCGATTTATCGACCTACCCTCCAAAGTTACACGCTCACGACTCGGAGAAACATTGGTCGTGCTCTCGAGCATCCGTTTCCTGGCTGCGTTACCCTGCATCCGAAGTCGATTATCATTGTTCGGCCACTTTTTACCGGCTTGTAAACGTCTCTTCCTCTTTACGTCGTGATAAGAGCTGGCTGTCGTTTAGCGCGACAATTTTTCTTGGCACCCGAATTTTCGCGTGAAAATGAATGAAAATTAATATTGCAAGCTGTCTATCATTTTGATACTCGATTAATTCGAAGGAATTTGACGTGGGTTTAGTTGAATTTTTTTTTGTAACTTGCAAGGGTAATTAAATTCTATTTATTTTCCTGAGAAATGATTATCTAAGTAGTTATTCAACCTTTTGCCTTATAATACTGTGGGATTTTGTTAAATACTTGTGCGTTTATTATAATTAAAAGTAACCCCACGCGACGCCGGTGCTGTTCACTTATAATCTGCCTCCTTTTTCTCACCGCTCCTCCGATTCGCTCTCTTCCGGCTCGATGCTTCTCGTTTTTTTTTCACACTCACACACCTCACACTCTTCTTCCTTTTCTCCACGCACGCATCCACATACACACACTCACACACGCCGCGATCGGCTTGACAACCCATCTTGTCTAAACATAACAAACACGCCACGCACGATCGTCTTCCATTCGTTCTTCCTTTCCAGGCCATTCACACCACTCTCACACATTCACTCTTTCATACCAAAACCCCCCACAATACCGAGTCACACTTTTACAGTACTGTATTTACGGTAAACTTGAATTTTAAAGCTTTCCAAATGAAAATTACACGTAGTGTTTTCACTTCTTCTTACTTAGGACGGCATAAAAATTATAAGTAGCCAAGACAAACGTATGCACCCATAAAAAAATCGTAAGATAAAGAGTTAACAGAGACAAAGATCCATCAGAATAAAGGAGCATAAAATATTTCTCGATTTTCACAACTAATGGATTCTCGTAACGGGGCAAACAAATGTGAAAAGTGCAGTAGACGAAGCAAACATTCGCGTCTGAGGTCGTTCAACCTACATAACGTGACCTATTAACATGCGATGCACAGCAACCTCGTTAATTAATGTCTATTGTCTCTCTGTTGATAAAAGCGTACCAGTTGATCATTAATCAGATATAAAGAAGACTTCTTCAGGGTAATGACAGCTTTTTGTCTCTTCTGGATATTGAAAAGAAAAAGATAAAAACAGAAAGTATCTTTTCTAGATCCCATACAAAAGTAATTATTCATTCGGAAACGTGGCTCTCTATCGAGGATACGAATCGTCGCGAATTTCTGCTCTGTCGGTGTGTGTTTGTGTTATATTCAAGCGTATATTTATTGGCTCGTGATTGTTTGCTCCAATGAAACAGTAATTAAGCGGTGTACCCTTGATATTTAATTATATGCGTCGCCGGTGGCTTTTCACGAAGAAAAACTATTGTCTCCGGCGATATTGAAATGCGTATTTGCGGTGGAATTTTCGCCCAACAGCATCCACCATAATCTCGTTACCGTGGGACAATGCTTGGCAATTATGGGGACAATGCGGGAAAAACAGTGGCTCCTGACACGCGTAATGTTTTCGTTGTAATAATTTTGTATCTGTACATTTCCTCCTACTTTTCCATCCCTGTCTCGTTGTCCGATATTAGGATACGGAGTTGGCCATTTACGGACAGGCACTCCCAGCTAATTTCCGGCTGTAAATACTCGATTCGATCTCCCCTCTCTCTCCCCATCGTTCGTGTTCTCACCATCCTTCTGATCGATGACTTCTTTCCGCTTCCATGCCATCACTCACGAACGACCAGCATTTTTATTCCATCGGGGAATTCCTTTACTCCAGGCTCAAGTGTCGTGACCTTTTTTTTCTCTTTAAAGTATATCATACTTTTATTTTATTTCTTTTAAGGATAATTAAATTCGCGCATGTTGGAATTTCTGTATTTTGGATTTTTTAGTCATGTTTCCTATATTTTGGATTTTAAATGTTACCGTTATGTACGACGTTTGTTTCAGATACGCGATTGGTTGACAGTCGAAGAAGAGATGCTGCGAAAACAGGCGGTGGTCGTCGGCGATGTCGGCGAAATTATGGAGGCGCTTGATAAACAAATGGTAAGCAGATTATCGCATGCACGACAAACTTATCCACTTTACAGGCACAACTTCTCTCCACGATATATACGCGGCTTTTGAATCTTGCATAGCTTCTGGTAGCTTTATGATAATCCTAAACGACGATTCAACGTTCCGTAAAATACCGTATAAATATTTACCAACTGTAGCTCGGACAATGCCATATGTATTGCCAGTTTTCTACCACGTATAAACTACTAATTTTCGTCAAATCGAATTGAAATTATTCCATTTTTATTCCAAGTCTCGATTAAAAATTACGACGAAAGATTTTGTCACATTTGTAGAAAAGTTCTTTCTTATCTTCGACTTTCTTCGAGTACCGTGTTCTTATCAAACGCGCAACCCTCACGAAAGCAGGAAACTAAAAGTTCCTGTGCCGGCAATGTCACGATCTGCAATATCCACGAGGGTTGGAATCGAGCTTCAGCCCTTATCTACGCTTCGAGGGTAAAACGAACCGAACCACCCTGCGTTATCAACGTACAGTTCTCTGCATTTTGCCGATCGTGGGTCGCCTCGAGGGGGATGTTCGAACGCGTCCCTTGGCACAGGGTCGCGATGGCGCTTTCGCGACTTTCTAAGGGTCGAAAGTGGGGGTTTCTGGGTTACTGACCGGGAAAACCCTGACATTGGCATTGGCATTAAGGGTCCAATGAACGCTGCCACGCCTTCCTCGCTGTGCGTCGACGATACATTGTTGCTTCACGCGCAATAGTTATGCTCCGACTATTGATTGCTCGTGCGTCGATTTTCCGTCCCCCGTGGCATTTCGTATTTTTCGTCCGCGACACCTTTTTCCTACTTTACTGTACCGAAAAAAATTACTTCATCGATTTTCATTTTTTCTATTTACATGTTTTCAGTGTATTTAAATTCTTTTTCTTAAGGATCTTCGAAACTGTGTAATTCGACAATTTCATCGCGATTCTATAGCCTGTGTCGATTCTGCCGCATCTTGTACAGCGCTGTTAGAACGAAATGCGAGTAAAGAGAAATTATAGATCAGCATTTCGAACTTGTTCACTTTGAACGTCGCTGGTTTTAAACGAGGGAGAATTGACCTACATTAGCCGCTCCTCGTCGAGCTCTAATTATTTATTCGATCGAACAATCCAGCTATCTGTATCGAAGGTTAGGAAACACAGAAGTAAAGTCCTCTTTGCCTACAGTATCAATGGCCAGTCCCGTAATCTTTGCAGGCTCGGTGCAAAACGGCGTTCGATGAAACTCGAACGAACGAATTAATTAAGACTTATTGGCAGCCCTTTCACGATCTCTTCAATAGAGGCTCGTAACGGAACGAGCACTTCCTCTGTCCTCGTCTCCAGCGCTTTTTCCCCAATTCGAAAGCCCGGTGTGCAGTCGGCACGAACCAATTGTCCCCCCGATGATATTTCAAATTTTCCTGGTTCTCGAAGGCGGCCGGAAACTTTCCACGTTCGACAAAGACACGATTTCACGGGAGAAGAGTTCGGTTACCTCTGCTATGGGCAACGTGACTGGTTTTCACGCGTGAACCAAAAAATAAAGAAAGAAACGAAGGCGCAACGTGGGTGTTCCGTTGATCAACGGCCGACGATTTTCACGGGATCACATGGAGTTTCCTTCTTCCTCCCGTTGCTCGTCGAAGCTCGCGTCACTCGAATCGCAGAGTTTTCGGAACACGATTTCACAGGGGCGGTCGAAAACAATGGATTTGTTACGGCGGTGTTGTTATTGATTTCCGATTGGAAGGCTGGGAGCAAAAGATATGGAGAAATGAAAGAGCCGCTGAGTGGAAGAGGTAGGAAGAGACAGACAGAGAAGAGAAGTGAAACGGAGGTCTTCCATAATGCATAGAAGAATATCAGGGCCTCTTTGAATACTGCTGATTACTGGAATTACAATGATTCGGTGGCGCGGAGCTTGGCAGTAATTATACCGTGAAATGAAAGAATCGAACGTTTATGTATTCCGTGAATACATTTAATAATACTAGCATATATCAGAGTGAAACTGAAGTATCTTGCATCTCGTATTCCATGCAGAGGAATGGAAATGAAATCAATTTCTGTTAGAAAATGGAAAAGTACCTGTGTTTGTATTTAAATACGTAATTGTATCGGTACCTGTAGTATAGTTTGAACGAATGCAAAGTAGTATGTGTTCGAAGAGTTCCTACGATGCACAGTGTTTCTAAGTAACAATGTCCTCCAAATTTTTTGGACACGTCATCTAGTAAACTAATTTTTCTAACTTCTCAAAAATATTCAAGTCGCTTGGTACAATTTCAAAAAAATTATATTGTTTCAAAGAGTGTCCGAATGTTAATTTAGGTAACTATGTATAACTTGGAATTGGATATTAAATCTATGTCTCTGGAGCAGCGATGAATTATCGTCAAATCTATCGTTGAATATTACAACGGGTGTTTACAGACTCGCTTGATCCATTAATCATCAACATCACGCTCTAATTGCGTATCGTCCACAGTTTGTTTAACGCGTATCTATTCTCTCTTCATCGTCGAATCATTTCCATGCCACGATTCTCCTACAATTATTCCCCGAACAAACTATACAACTATTCTATATCACCGTGACTATTACATATTCCGTTCGTCACTTTTCCAACGAATGTCCAACGAAGAACACTCGAATTCCGTTCTTCCCTTCGATATTACCAGATCGTCGTTCCTCCTTTTCCACAGCGAGATTCTGTTAAAGAGGTAGACACGATCCGGTATCTAATTACGCCGAGTTTTGACGAACTTTCCACGGCGAACTTTCGCTACGATTTTCGTAATTAGTGTCTCACGAGCCGGCTTTCGGTTGAACTAAGATTACTTTCGAATTATTTCGATTTCGAGGTGGAACAGTGTGAACGATGGCGAAGCCAGGTGTAACGGCCAGGTAGTTTTACGCGCGTCACGCACGTCTGGACGGAAGTTTCAAGCTCTTCTCGCCGGTTGTTGCAGACTGTAAGTGGATATTTAATTGCTCCTCCTGTTGAACATTCTCGCGGAGAATTCGCTAAACTTTTTCCTTTTTTTTCCCCCCCATCGCCACACGACCAGACGTCATGGCGCTCGATCTAGGTCGACCTCGTTAAAGCAATATCGCGGCAGAAACGTACGCGGATCATCACATTTTTCACGTCGTCATGTGCATACCCATAGCCATGCGACCCATTTAAATCCATCCCTTTTACGTTCCAGACTTCTCCTTTTCCGATCGATTTCTCTGTTCTTGCATTTTTCTTTTTGTTTGTCTTTTTCTTGCCGGTAAATTGGAGTCTCGATCGTGTTTCTGCGAGTAATTTTATCAATTTCACCGTAGATTTGGATTTTAAACTTGGGTCAATTTTGTCCGGACTAGTTCCTAAGGCATTGGCTTCTCGGAGTTTAATAAAAAATTTTCTTGGCTAGTAGAATTTTATTTAGCATATTTAACGAAGCTACAGGAATTTTCTCAGATTTTTTTGAAGACTTTTAATCGTTAATCCACGCTTGCGAGTTAAAAGTGCCAAAAATACGGGTTAATGGACCTTAAAGTAATATGCAATAAATTTCGTTGCTAAAATATTATTTCTATTCTAAGTAAAATAGTGCTTTGGCGAAGAATAATTTTTTCAAAGACCCAATAAATAAATAATTAACTTATTTCAATCCTAGCTGGAATTTGCCTGCAATTCGTTTCATTTTTATTGTTTCATCGACTTTCGTTTCCATTTCCTTGCACCGAAAATTAGCATACCATAAAGACGACTGAAACACTGACAAAAAGCCTAACAAATCGTCAGTTCGTTCATTACGAAGGCGTGAAATTGTGGTTGAACGGTTAACGATGATTGACGGTGGTCGATGCTAATTCGCAAAATACGACAACTAATTAATTTGAAACGTTACATTTCGCATTCGAGGCCCATGAAGTTTTAAGGCAGCACAAGTGAGGTGACCTGTATTCACCGTGGCGATAATTTCACACGCAGCTTCGACGACAGTGGATGGAACTTAAATTTCCCGTACGAAGTAGTGAAATTTGTATCGCAACTGGGGAACGCGTAGATATCACTCGTAGTTCGAGCGTTGTTCTAATTTTTTCACGCGTAAATCAAACACGCTGTCCACGTTTAAATCGAACCGTTCCCGGCGAACGTCTAACTTTGAATCGTTTCGTACGCGTGGAGGTTGATGTTCCAGCGGTTCGTGCATTATTCAACGCGTCCAGAAATTTATTTCTCCCGCTCCTTTATCATATTTTACGCTGTTTGCTTTCCGGCCCGAGGATACACGCGAATGAAATTTCCACGATGCGCTTCGGGGCTAATATATTCATCGACGATGATCCAACGCGGATTGCGACTGATATCCGGTGGCTGTAATGCCTAAAGTAATTTGTAATCGTTTGAAAAATACTCGCTATCCGTCACCCACGCGAATATTTCTTTTATCGTGCAAATCATTGGTTCTTAACGATATTTTCTCCGCCGAGTGATTTCGTTGGTTTACGACTGTGGGAATAATGTAGCGAAAGAGGAATTACTCGGTCTTAGCATTCAGCAATTATGGCAGAGGGGTAGATTGCGTGTGCGCAGTGCACATCTTCTTTGTCCCCTCAGCATCCGATTAGGTATCGTAGCAGTGACAGACTCGAACTTACGCTTGATAATTCTACGGAGAATATTCCGTCAAATCTTCCACTTTTCTTTATTTTACACTATTGAAGTACGTAATAAAGCATCGAAGATTACTAAATTATCCTATGCACTGCGGTCAAATTTTGAGAAAAAGGAAGCGAAATATTATCGACGATTTTCGTCCTTTCGAATTTTCATTTATCACGAGTAGATTAGAAATTCGATAATAAAATTACCGAATCATCCCACGAATGGTAATCAAATTTTCATTACACCTACTCCAGAGAGAAGAAGGAAGCCAAGTATAATCGACGATTTTCGTCCTCTCGAATTTACAATTTCCCATCCCTTGCTAACGA